CTTTATTCTTTCCTCCAAATCCAACTAATGCTGTGTTTTCACTTTAGAAATATTGATTATTGTTGATCTTGCTATGTAATAGTGATTGTTTTCGACCGTGGTTAATTGTTTAAGTTTTAATTGAGATTGTGTCTATTAATATACAATGATGATAATGTAAAAGCCATATCATCTGTTAGCTCAAGTAGTGCATGGCGTTCTTGTTAGAATAATTCTATTATATGAGTTTTCATTTAATTGCGAATTTTACGGGTTAGATGTATGGTTTGCAATGATACTATGATTAGGCCAAATATGTTAGTGATCACTTGAGCCGTTTTATACCTTACAGGCTTTATTATTTATAATGTGGTAATTTTAAGTATGTGAACTGAAATTAAGTAAACCCCAATTAGGGTTAGAGTCGGTAATTGGCCGACTTTATAATTTTATATATATATAGCTAGGTCTCCTCTCCTCTCTATATGGTTTTGGCTTGCCCCATTGACGTTGATTATTTTGAGGAGCAAGAAGAGGAAGATCTAGCTGATAATATTTATATATATCAATGTCTTCCGCATGTATGAACTTCGAACTATCAATTAATTATATATGATTCTTGTTCTTAGCATGATTGTATTGAATAATTTCAACAATTGGTATCAGGACAGGCATGTTAAGATTAGAATCCTTCGAACAAAAATTGATTTTTGAAATTCTTCTTCTCCTCGCGTTGAATTGTTATTATCATTATTGTGACCATTCCCCATCGGTCATGCATATATGTTTATAATACCACTAAAATAATTAAATAACGCATAAGACAGAGCAGACGTAGGCAGATTTTTCCTGATTCCAATTGATTACTTGGTTGACTATTCTATGCAAGATTATATCTTTCTATATACAAAAGGTGTCTATCTAACGGAATTTGTTGGTTTAACGGAAAAACTAACAGAATTTGTTGGTTTAACGGATTATGTAACGGAATTTCTTGTTTTAAACAGGCAGCTGCACCTTTCTTCAGTATTTTTATCATAACTTTGTATTCCGATATTCGATTGAGGCGATTCAAAATGCGTTGAA